ACCTACGGGTACAAGCAGGAACACATAAAGAGAAGTCACCACATCATAAAGAGACACATGGAAGGGGAGAGGAGATTGATGTGAACACCCCAATCAGTGAATTCAAAGGTCCTAGCATCTTTCACAGGGCTAAAGAAGAGATTGAAGCCATTGTTGACACTATGAATGCAAAGAAAGAATCTGAACGTGAGGCTGCATCACCAAAGAAGGAGGGTAGCTTTCAAGTTAAACTTAGTAAAGTTAAAGTAGAAAACCTAAAAGGAGAAGCAGAAACAAGTAAAGAGAAGTCACCACATCATAAAGAAACTCATGGGAGAGGTGAAGACGTTGATGTGAACACACCAATCAGTGAGTTCAAAGGTCCTAGCATCTTTCATCGAGCCAAAGAAGAGTTTGAAGCCATTGTTGACACTATAAACACAAAGAAAGAATCCGCATCACCCAGAAAGGAAGGTGGATTAAGAGCTAAAATGAGTAAACTTAAGATAGATAATGTGAAAGTGCAAGGAGAAACAAATAAAGACAAGTCACCAATGTCTCATCATAAAGAGACTCATGGAAGGGGAGATGAGACTGATGTGAACACCCCTATAAGTGAATTTAAAGGCCCTAGCATCTTTCATAGGGCTAAAGAAGAGATTGAAGCCATTGTTGATAGTATTCAGTCAAAGAAAGAATCTGATGCATCTCCAAAAAAGGAAGGTGGATTCCGAGCTTCTGTTAGTAAAAAGCTACAGAGAGTTTACAGTAAGGGCAGGAATCGTGATTGAGATCTTGATTTATATTAACCGAGTGGAATCAGCATATGTTAGAAGGACATGATCCATGATCCATGATCCATGATGTGTACACTAATACTGCAAATTAATGGTTCTCAAAGATTGGATAATTTTAAAGAAAGCTATGTTGTTTTTGTTGTCTCCTTCCTTTTTGGCTAGAAACTAATCAAACTATGCCCTATGTTTTTAACTGCTACAAGTTTATTATATGTGCAGTGAAAGCAAAGCTTCAGGTTTTTGAAGAACCAAAAAATGCACTAAAAGTGTCCAGAATGGAAACACTGTCAAAAGGACCTCTGATTCATGAGGAGAAAACAATGTATGTATCTCTGACTCAAACATATAATTATCTGTGTCTTGTTGTTGTTTAATCTTTAAGATCTGTTGTTTCAGTAGAATCTTCTTATCAGATCTGAGTTTCTTGAAGACAGTTTCGCTGATAAGTCAGCTTTGAATTTTTCTTTGGTTTTTATATCAGTTTGTTTTAAGATCTATATAAAGAGCATTCTTGCTTACTTAAATAAAATAGAATCATTTTTGATTGAGCACATAGTTTAAGAACCAGTTTCAACAAATTGCTATTAGAACCCAAGTAAAGACATGGATGCATTTTCTATATGACAAAAGGGAAACATGGATATTCTTCAAAAGCTTCCAAGTTATGGTTGAAAGTGAAGCACAATTAATGATAAGATGTTTAAGGAGTTATTAAGGATGAGAGTTTAGCTCTAAAGAGTTCAATAGTGTAAATGTGTAATTACAGAATGGAATAGCATAAAAGAAGAATCCAACAAGTATGAATAAAGTGTCATATATTTTTGTTTGTTTATGTGTTAACATATTTGAGATGTATTGCTTTGTGAAACTTTATTTAGCATTTGAGAGCATATGCAATGACACATCACCAGATACACAATTTGAATATGATGAAGATGGCTTCAGTCTCTCATTCAGAATTTCATGTTCTGAATGATCTAATGCACTTTGAAGCCCAAAGCACGTCCGAGAGCAGGCCATTAGCTTAGCTTAATGGGCCCATTCACCGTTTGAAGCCCGTTACTTACCCGCCTGCAAATTTGGTTATCCATGGCCCGACACGCGAAGACAAGTCGGGTTTTGAGCACCTCTAATTGTGATTAATGGAAATTCAGAATATTAAGTAACCGATTCCTAATATCACAACAAAGATAAAAATTTCCCATAACCTTCGAATTTGCAAAATATAAATATATCATCAAATAATCGTAAAACATCCTCAAAGTGGATATATCCTTCAGTGATGATGTTTCCATTTTATTTTCACCGACTGATATGTACATATGCTAGTGATATATGCACATGTGCATATGTTGTGTCAATCTTATTTTCCTTTTAAGTGAGAGATACACATGAACCTTATCATTGATGTGCATATGCACTAGCACATGTAGAGATATGTATATATAGACATAGCCAACACAAAACAAGTTCTGATTTATTTACAAAACTACATGGATGAAGATGAAATTTGATTTAATTACAAAAACCGCTTTATGAAGGCGAAATCTGATTTATTTACAAAAACCAAAACCAAGTCTATCAAAAACGATTGTCTTAGCCCCACCGCTCGTTTCGTCGCCCACTATAGTCAAATCGCCGCCCACCTCAACCTCACCTCCTGCATCTGTAAAATCCGGGCGATGTTGATCTCCATCTACACAGCAATCTCCTTGATGAAATGAGAGGATAATCAAATATTGTTTATCTTGTTTTATTATTTCCTAAAATGTCCTTCATTAAAAAGAAATCATTTAATTACAAAAATACCATCTTATTTATCAATTCATATCATCCGCTACTTCTTTTGATGATATGTCTATTTATTTACCTTATTCGTTCAGTTTTGAGTTATTTTTTTTATCTTGCCACATATGATTTATATTCTATTATAAATTCGTTGACCAAATTGATACCATAACATTTTACTCACTTATATATTGATCTGACATGAGACTCTCATGATGAGAATGTGCAGTGTGCTATCCCATTAGGACATTGTATACTCATATACATGAAACAGGAAGACCATATATAAATGAAACAAGAACATATAAAATTAAATATTAATTTATATGTTATATTGTTATTGTAACTTGATCATAATGTTTTTTAAACCGTATAAAATATTACTTTTGGCCAAAACTAAAAAATCTGAAAAGCAAAACCGTAGAAAATATAAAAAATAGGGCCAAAATATGAGGAAAATTCTACCAAAACTTCTATAAAAAAAGTAACACCAAAATTGAGAAATAGTAGGGCAAAAAGTGAAAATATTGAAAGGTTCAGGGTTAAAACTATAAACATTAAAAGGTTATAGGACCAAAATTGGCATAAAAGTAAAAGTTTTGGCCAAAACCGAGATAAAAAGGGATGGGGCCAAAACTGAAAATATTGAAAGTTTTGGGGCCAAAATGAAAAACAATAAAATTTTGGGGGCAAAATTGAAAAGAATAAAAGTTAACTATAACAATAAGACCAAAAGTGAAAATATTAAAAGTTTTGGGTCAAGAAAACAATGAAAGCTTTTAGCACCAAAATTGAGAAACAATGAAAATTTACCATAACAATATAACCAAAACCCAAAAAATAGAAAGTTTTGAAGCCAAAATTAAAACAATGAAATTTCTTGGTCCAAAATTAAAGACAATAAAATTTTACTATTTATAGTGTCACATCTCAGCAATTGTGTATATTTATAAGGCTATGAGATGTGATAATGATATTACTGGCGTTATGTATATGTGGAGCATATTAATGTCAGTGAACACCACCCCTCAACCATTTGATTTACCAACATAATTTTCATCGGTGGAAGTTTACCGATTTCTCTTTCCTTTTTAACTCTCATTATTTCTTCCGTATTTACCGGGTAATGTTAAAACACCACACCCTAACTATTTTTGCCATTGATAAAAATGTCACTATCAGCTTATGTGTCCACCCGTAAAAATTGTGTACACCCCCTAACCTAATCATTTTTTTTAAATTTTTTTTGCTGGATCTTTTTAACAAAAATAATTTAAGTTGTAAGTATTATAATAAATTTTTGACTTTGAGGGATGAGCATGAGACAGAATAAGTACCGGTTGTTGGTATCGAATCGATACCAATTCGAGATTTTGAATACCGAATTGGATGAAAATTCAATAACCGAACTAACATTATTGATATCAGTATTAGGAATGCTACTAATTTTTCAATACTAGCACCGGTATTGAATCCCGGATTTCATATCTAGAATACCGAGTATCCAAACTCACCTATCTTATTTATTTTTATTTACCATTTCTGCTTAAGTTTATTTTTTTGTTACAATTTAGTATAATTTTTTTACAAAATTTGCCTAATTTTTTACAACTTAGTTTTTATATGCTTGTTTAAACTTAGTTTTTTTTCTTCATTTCACAATTTTGCTTTTATATGTTCGCTTTTTTTTTTTCTTTAAATATTTCCTGCTTTTACAAATTCCCTTTTATAAAGTCATCTTTACAATTATATATATATATATATATATATATATATATATATATATATATATATATATATATATATATATGTTTTTATGAATATTTTTTTTACCTTTTTTATATATTTATTGTTCATGTAGATAAGTAGATTCAGCCCACCCGTCTAGATCATGACCCAAATCCTTACCACCGGAGCATCTCCTATCTACAATTTAGCCTAAAATTTAACTTTGTTGCAATTTAGTCCAAATTTTTTCCACAAAATTTGTCTAATTTTTGTAACTTTGTTTTTATAGGTATTTTAAACTCAGTTTATTTGTTCCTTTTTATTTTTATATGTTTTGCTTTTTTACAACTTTTTTTTCCACCTTTGTTTTTTTACGTAGTCGTCAATATAAAATTATTTTTCATAATATTATTTATATATTTGTTTTTATACATGTTTTTTTCAAGATTTTTTACATATTCATTTTACAAACTAAAAATACACTATTATATATATCTACTATAAATTATGTCTTACCTATTAAGCATGCACAAATTTTCCACAGCATCTTGCAATATGCTTCCTCTAATTTCATATTTTTCATTTGAGAAACACAATAGTATTGAACTCTTTTATTATATATGAAAAAACGTTTTACAACTATGCATATTGTTTGGATTAATGAAACATAAGGGATGCTATGTGTAAATATCTTCAGTTCAAAAGGAGGGAAAAGAACGAGAAAAGAAACCCTTAAACCCTAAAAAAATCAAACCAGTTAATCTCCCTCTCAAAAGAGGGGAAAAAGGAACTTGGTTAGGGTTTATGTTAAACCCTAAGGAAACAGTATAGCTCCGCGTGTTTGTGGGGTGATAAGAAAGTTTTTTTGTTATTTGTTTATTCAGATATACCAGCAGTATACGCAGAATGGCGAGGCTGCTTCGAAACGTGTCTATTCTGAAACGCTCCGTATGTTATTTTGAGGTGATCAAAATGCTTCTCCATTTTGTTCTTGATTGATTTTTTGTGTTTCATGTTCTATCTTCCTCTGTACTTTTGATTTGGAGAAATCATTAAAATGGCATCGCATAGTGCAAGTAGAGGTTTTAGTTGACCGTGTTTTGGTTGATTCACTAGAAATCGAGATTAAACCATCATTAGATAATGTGTTTGTGTGTAGTTTTTAACGTCATGAGTGGAGGATGATGGCGTGCCTATATGTTGAGCTTAGAAAACAACTCAATAAGTGTTATACCGATTTTTTTGAATCCATGACTTTACTCTTTAACTTTGACAATGCGATTCTAACACCTCAAATGTCTTGGAAGTATAGCAGTGTTCATCCAGGCTTTTCACAAAGCCTGAATTGCAGATGCAAATAATTTACATGTTTCTTTGGGAGTTAGGGACAACTAAAACAGTAGCTTTTTGCTTAACAAGGAATAAGAATGTAATAACTTGAAAGTAGTTTGGTAAGGAAAGCGAGTAAGATCATTTATTCATGTTCAAGAGTAACAGTAACTGCCTTGATTTATATAAGCAAGAATTCACTTAGAAATCTGGTAATCTTGGGCTTTATTTAACCATGGGGTGCATGTTTGGAGTTATATTTTGACTCATAATGAATCCATCCTTTTTGTTGCTTGGTTATTGGTGTGCAGGCTCCTAAGATATGTTTACTTGGATCATCATCTCAGATAAGCAGTTTCTCTACTAAAGGTGTTACTCATTCCTATATGGACTATGATTTTGTTTTTCTTTTACCATTTTTCTTTGTTTGTTGGTAATAAGCTTATCAGTACAACATTTTTGAAATTCTAGGTAAAAAGAAATCAAAGTCTGATGGAAGTGATTCAGGTGAAGAGGGTATGTCTAAAAAAGATCTAGCCCTAAAACAGGCAATTGATCAAATCAATACTTCTCATGGAAAAGGTTCCATCATGTTTCTTGGTCAGTGTCCTTCTCCCAGACACGTTCCAGTAGTGTCTACAGGATCTTTTGCATTAGATATAGCATTGGGAGTTGGTGGATTTCCAAAGGTATTTACACTCTGTTTATTTCTCCCATTTATACCCTCCAGTTTCATCTGATGTTCTTGGTTTCAATCTGCTCATGCAGGGACGTGTGGTGGAGATATATGGTCCAGAAGCTTCCGGAAAGACAACTCTTGCCCTACATGTAATTGCTGAAGCACAGAAACAAGGAGGTGAATTTCCAAGTTCTTGATTCCATTTCATACCCTTTTTATGTTTACAAAAAGTCGTTTCCTTTTTTAAATTTTTTTATAGGTTATTGTGTATTTGTTGATGCCGAACATGCCCTTGATCCATCATTAGCTGAAGCTATTGGTGTAAACACTCGCGATTTGTTATTATCACAGCCAGATTGTGGTGAACAAGCTTTGAGTCTTGTAGATACCATTATCAGAAGTGGTTCAGTTGATGTTGTTGTGGTAGACAGTGTAAGTAAGGTCTCTATTTAATAAATACAAATTTTACCCAAAAAAAGAATCTTTTTTTAAACTTATGGGTTTGTTATGTAATGTAATGTCAGGTTGCTGCCCTTGTGCCTAAAAGTGAACTTGATGGTGAAATGGGTGATGCACACATGGCAATGCAAGCTAGACTTATGAGTCAGGCACTTCGTAAATTAAGCCATTCGTTATCTACATCACAAACTATTTTAATCTTCATTAATCAGGTACCAAAAACTATATAAATTTTACCTGTTTGAGATAAAATATAGTCTGAATCGAGTAATTTTCGAATTTGACTCAGGTAAGGTCAAAGCTAGCTACTTTTGGATTTGGTGCACCATCTGAAGTGACTTGTGGTGGAAATGCTTTGAAGTTTTACGCTTCAATTCGTCTAAATATTAGGAGAATAGGACTTGTCAAGAAGGGCGAAGAGGTAATTTGAATATTTTTTAGTAATTTGGGATTAATGGGTTAAGCACTTCATATGGACATCTATACATGGTTGTGTTGATCTGGACAAAATGACCTAATGGATTAAGCCAAAAAGCCTGGCTTAATATATCAAGACACTAACCCTTTACCTATTTGTCCCTTCTTCTTTCTTCGTCCCAATTGAAGAATGTTGTGAAATTTGTTTTTTGGAATGTAAGGGTAAAATGGTCATTTAGTCTCAATTCAGACGGTTTATTCAGTCTAGAAAAGAAGAAAAAGAAACAATCCTTAAGTCATAAAAATTGAAGAATGTTTTTTGTTTCATATATCTATGTGTTGTACACAGATATTAGGAAGTCAAGTTCTGGTGAAGATTATGAAGAACAAGCTTGCACCACCTTATAGAACTGCTCAATTTGAGCTTGAATTTGGGAAGGGTATATGTCGTGAGTCAGAGCTTATAGAGTTAGGTATAAAACACAAATTCATAATGAAAGCTGGTGGGGCGTATTACAGCATGGGTGAAATGAAGTTTTGTGGTAAAGATGCCATAAAACGTTACTTGGCCAACAATTTACCCATACGTGAAGAACTGGAGACAAAACTTAGGGAAAAACTTGTTGATGAACCCAAAAAGGAGACAACAGATGCTGAAGAAGTAGATGATGTTATTGCACCGGATTCAACCGATGAAGAGGTGACCGCTGTGGAGGCATGAAGTAAAAATTACGGATTTAACCTTGTATTGTAAGTTGTTGTAACGTGTTCTCTCTTAATTTTCTTTGTCCAAATGGGGATAAATGTGTCTTTTTACAAGTCTTTTCGGCAAAGGTGGCACTTGGGAGAACATGCACACGAATCGGCTTGTAAGTATATGGTAGTTTTGTAATATGGGTATCAGGTCGTATATTGGAGTTTTGATTTTGAATGAAAAATGGAAGCCTCTATGTGTTGCCTTTGTTTTAGGGTTTATTTTGGTGTTAAACTCGAGGAAACAAGGTTAAGTAGTCTTTCTTGGGTTCCATATTTATAGAATGTTTTTATAAATCACATTACCTAGATTGGGTACTTTATATCAAATAAAAACTGAGATAATCTTTTGCCAAAAAAAAGACATTACACCAAATCTTTATCACCATACCATCTTAGGGAAAGTAATGCTTTAAGAAAGCATGCCGCTTGTCAATAAACGCTAAATGATCTTGAATCAAGCTTGAAGTAAGTTCACAATCTTGAAGGGCGTCTTCTTGTCAAGATGAATGTTGGATAACTATTGATGATGTGACATGTTGTAAAGCCCATTCGGCCCAAAAAGTCTCCAAGTAACCCAAAGTTAGACATAGACAAAATACATCAAACTTTCTTCATAATCATCCAGTTCATTTTTTCTGAAACACCAGTCGTATTGTAGTGACGACGTAATGCCTTGATTTCTACAATAGGCATTAAACCCATCGGAACAAAATTCTAAACCATTTTTAAGTGATAAAAACATCACTTTTGTGCTTTAAGAAGAATGCCCAAGCTTTTTGATAAGTATTAAGTTTTTGTCAACGTACATTGATTACCTCTATGTTGATGATACCTTTGTGGGATAAAGATCCGAATACAAATAGTTAAGGATTCCAATAGTGAATGAGAAGTAGAGAATCTTACCCTGTTTTGCTTTGCCAAAAAACACAACGCCCACAAAATGGAAGTTTACTAGTGTTTATCACATAATAAATTCCGTGTACTCAATTCTCTTGTACCGAACTCACTAGTGTGGACAAATCTCATATGCCACAATTTGATAATACTGGAATCCATCATAGATGAATGATGAAAATGAAACATCATAATTAACCAAGAGAGCAGAATCATCCAAAACATAGAGATTGATTACCTTTAAAAATCTGTTCATTATCATAAGATATCATATGCTAACTTTAACTATACACCTTCGATAACATATTTGTGGCCATACAGATCGACTGAAGTAAGAGAAATGAAATTTATCTTCAACTTTGGGGCATGTTTCACATTCCTAAAAGTATGAACAATATCTTCAAACATCTTGATAAGAATATTTCCAATGCCTTCAATATCATGGGCCATAATATCTCTTATAAGAATAGAGGCAGAGCTGAATGCGGCTCATACGTATAATACCACTTTTTATTAGGACGCATAGTGGGTGCATCTTGAATTAAGAATCCATTCGGGTGAACAACCGTTACCTTCATCCATAATGTCTAGAAGCTCACTATAACCATCTCCGTCTACACTAGCTTGGTTCTATTCATTGGGTTGTTTATCCTTAGAATTGGTTTTGTTCTTGTTTTGTAGTTTCTAGCACTCAGTTAATTGTCCGTCCCTTCTTGTGACAATAAATTTGATATTGATGGACCAAAATTCTTGGAATCCGTGTCATTAGGCCTTCCCCTTACATTGATGCCTTCAACTTTTGAATCTCCATCATTAAGAATTTGTTTCACCCCAAAGATACATACACCTCATCTATTGTGAGAGGATCCTCATTATACAAGATAGTGTCCCTAAAAATGATATAAAATGATGGCAAATAGCATAAAAACATAAATTCCAAATCTTCCTCATCATAAATCTTCTCCTAAGTGGCAACAATCTCTATAAAATTAGATACATGATAAAAAACGAGGAACCACATTCAATAAGACGATGATAATACATATATTGCTCGACTCTTAGTCATATATAATTGCTCTAATTTAAACCAAATAGCCCATTGTACCCGTCTCCACCAAAACATATTGAAAAATGTCATTACATAAAAGCAAACGAACTAATGAAGATGCTTTTAAATCCTTGGTTTTTTTTCTTCGCCGGACTATGGGATCGTTATCTTTTAAATCCTCAATTTGCTTTTCTTCACTGGACTAGGAGACTCTTATGAATTACCACACATCTGTGTCCTCTTCAGTCAACTCCAAGACCCTGACTACTTTTCCAAGATAGACTCACCTTCAGATTATTATCAAGTTTGTTTTATTCAAATAACATTGAAAAGACGACGTTCTAGACTCAATATGGATGCTATGTATTTTTTACGATGCCATTTGGCCTCAACAATATATCTATTATGTTTACAAATTTGATAAACCAAGTAAGCAATCATTTTCTCAATATGTAGATCATCAAGTCCATACATGATATCTTGATTTATTCAACAAGCAAGGAGAAGCATGAGTGTCACTCCTCAAGCCACAAACATATTTAACTAACACATACCTCTTTTACTACTTGAACTATCAAGCTAGTTAGTATAACCCTAGTAACACATGCTCTTTGTCTGGCTAGGAAATAAGATGTGCGTAATAGACGTATTGCAAGTTTTAAACAAAAAACATTTTCAAGCAAAATTCTCTAAATACGATTTTTGGTCGAGGGAAGTTCGTTTTTTGGGACACATTGCCAACCAAGGAGTTAAAGCGGTCCCATCAAAAGTTGAGGTGGTGATGAAACGAGAATCTTCAAAGACCCTTACCGAATATGTAGTTTTCTTGGTTTGGCTGAATTTTATAGATGCTTTATTCGAGATATTTCTATATCTCTGTCCATTCACAAATTCATAAAAAAAGGAGCACAGTTTGATTAGACTAACGAGCGAGATGAAACTTTTACTATCATGAAGAGGAAACTATGTCATAAAGGAATTATTGTTTATTTGATTTCTTAGAGTTTATCATATACGTGTGTAGAGGATAATGCAATACTTATGTTTATTTTAAACTTTGTTTGTTATCTAAGTTTTAGCCTCCTGATCATAACAGGAGGGATCCATTCCTGTAAGTATATATATACCCATTTTTGGGTTTAATAAAAGTAACTCTTTGAACCATCAAATTCTTTATGGTATCAGAGCAGGTCTAATCATATCTGTTTCAAGAAGATCGGAGACGGCTAGACGATGGCCGGAGACGATGCCGAATTATCCAAAAAGGATGGCGAAACAATCGGGGCTAATTCGCCATACTATATTCATGCCTCAGACTACCCCAAACAGATGCAGGTGAATGATTCTCTTACCGATAGCAATTACAATGATTGGGTTCAAGAGATGAGAAATTTCCTGTTTGCTAAAAACAAAATTGGTTTTGTTGACGGAACCATTCCCAAACCCATTGATGCTTCCGCTGATTATATGCCATGGATGAGATGTGATGCCATGGTAAATGGATGGTTGACTACCGCAATGGAGAAAGACATCAGATCAAGTGTCAAATACGCAAACACTGTTGCGGAAATATGGGCTGATCTAGAAGAGCGGTTTGGAAAGGAAAGTGCACCCCGTGCCTACGAATTGAAACAAACACTCAACAACACGTCTCAAGACAGTGCTTCTATCTCAGCTTATTACACACGAATGAGGAGTTTATGGGATGAAATTCAAACCATATCGCCAATACCTCGTTGCACGTGTGGAAAGTGTACCTGCGATCTTGGCAAAAGACTTAGTGAATCCAAAGAAAAGGAAAGGCTTTACGAGTTTTTAATGGGTCTTGACAATGTCTTCTCAACAATAAAGACTCAAATTCTTGCTTCCAAACCTACTCCTACACCAGGGACGGCTTATCACCTTGTCTCGGAAGATGAACAACAACGTGCTATTTCAGCAACAAAGAAGCCAACGCAAGAAGCTGCTGCATTCCAGAGCTCAAGTAACCGACGTGAGTGGGGTTCTGACCTCACATCTCAACGTAACAAAGGGGTGGCGAAAGACACAAAACGAAATAGTAGTGATGAAGTCGAGCATTGCACCTTTTGTGGAAGAAGTGGACACAACTAGGAAGGTTGCTTCAAACGTATTGGTTACCCAGAATGGTGGCCAGGAAAGGGGAAGAAAGATAAGGCGAAACCGAAGGCTGCTGTGGCAAATCTCGAGACAGGCCAAGTTCCAGTTCTTTCCAATGAACAATATCAAGGGTTACTAAAATACTTTGCAAAGGAATCTAGTATCAACACCAAACCTTCTGTTAACATGGCAGGTAGGAAAAACAATAATGGTTCTTGGATTATAGATACAGGAGCCACGAACCATATGACGAGTGATCAAAACTTACTCGAAACAAAGGTTCTTTGTGACAATGAATTCCCGGTAACTATACCTAATGGTGATTTCATCCCTGTAAAAGGAAAGGGGGCATGCTACCTTCCCAACGGAATTAAGATTGGGAATGTCTTTTACATTCCAAAATTTGATTGCAATCTTTTATCTGTTAGTCGTCTCACTGATGAACTAAATTGTGCTGTAACCTTTTACCGTGACTTTTGACTCATACAAGACCTACACAAGAAGAGCTTGATTGGCATGGGTAAGTGCAGCGGTGGTCTTTATCGAATGGATTCGGTGGCAGGAGAGAAGAGAGCTTTAATGGTGGCGTCGGATGTTGAGGTGTGGCATAAAAGACTTGGACATGCATCTGTGTCTAAGTTGAGTCAAGTTAATTTTTTAGGAAATTCTGTGAATAAGTTAAATAATAGAGTTTGTGATTCGTGTGTTAGGGCTAAACACACAAGACTTCCTTTTCCTAATAGTTATATTAAAACAATTGCTTGTTTTGAATTAATTCACTGTGATATATGGAGAAGTTATCGCACACCTTCACTTACTGGGGCACATTATTTTTTGACTGTGGTTGATGATTATAGTAGAGCTGTTTGGGTATTCTTGCTCAAAAACAAACATGAGGCCAGCCAACAATTAATTAACTTATGCAATATGATCAAAACTCAATTTGGGAAAGATGTCAAGAAGATCAGAAGTGATAATGGAGGAGAATTTACTTCCGGACTCATGAATGATTTCTATTCTAAGATAGGAATTATTCATGAGACTTCTTGTCCACACACCCCTCAACAAAATGGGGTTGTTGAACGAAAACACAGGCACCTTCTTGAAGTTGCAAGAGCCTTGAGATTTGAAGCAA